TTTTTTTTTTTTTTATTGTCAATTCACAAATTAAACAACACACATAATTAGATTTTTAAATTAAATGTAAAAAAAAGAAAATGGAGAGATTATGGGATTATATATATATATATTTTTTTTTTGTAATTTTACTTTCTCTCCTGTATTTTTGTTTTATTTTCAATAACGCAAAGGCTGATATAAATATATCTATATCGGTAGTAATTTAAAATTCATTATTTGATTATATTAATTTGTTTCTCGAAATAAATAGGAAAGAATTTTGATGAAATAACGATTGTGATTATTCTATTTTATTAGAATATTTAGAATAAATATATTCTAAATGAGATATTTATTTAATATAATTAAATACATAAATAAATAATTAATTAATTAATTAGATATTATATATATATTTAATATTAATTAAGAGCCTAATTAAAAATACATTTTTTCATATTTTATCGCTTTAGAGAGATGCACACGCGCATACACAAAGTACATACACATATATACACATATATACACATATATACACATATTTACACACATAATTGCCTGACGATAAAACGACATATTTTTTAACGAAATTATATTCACATAAAAAACCCATTATATATATATATATATATATATATTAACGTTAATATGATTTCAGATTTAATTCTTCTTCCTAAAAATTGATTTCTTTTTTTTTTTTTTTTTTTTTAATTTTGTTCGTTTATTTCTTTCTTTCTTTCTTTTTTTTTTTTGTCTCACTTTGTTATATACACAATTTTGTTTTTATTTTATATCATATATATATATATATATAGTATAAGAGCAAAATGAAAAAAAATTTATTTTCATTTCTTTTTTTTCTTTAGATAAAAAAAGAAAAAAGATAATTATATTATGATCTCAATTTATTGGAACAGGTGGTTACAAACAAAAATATTTCTAATATATCTAAAATAGGTTTCAATAAATTTTCGTAATCATTTTTTTTTCTTTCTTAAGTGCATTATTATATTTGGGTTTAAAAAAAAAATAATCAAATTTATTATTTTAAGTTTAAAAGACGCGTTCTTGTTTTTTTTTTATCTTTTCTTTTCTTTTCACTTATGACGCTTGCAATATGTCTGCAATTTAAAAACAGCAGCAGCAGGGGTATGATTGAATACATATTTCTTCTTTTTCTTGATTTTCTTTTTACGATGTATATTTTTCTTTCTATTTCTAACTTCTAATATATATATATATATTAGACTTAGGGTGTGCTGCCAAATAATGAATTATATATATAGTCTCTAAGAACCTATTGTGAAAGAATGATATAGGATTGTTTCTAATGTCTTCTTTAAATGTTTGCAACAAAGTTGAATGAATTATTATTGAATGAATTTAAATGAATGATTCATTGAAATAGTATGAATGTGAAAAAAAAAACGATTAA